TGAATACCCTGAACTAAAGAGGCATGAACTACTATTAGCTGGAACTTACTTGCAGATCAAAAGATAAAAATAATCCAGACTCTGAAAAGGCTAAAAGCAGCACATAGTTTGTGTCATGTGTTAAGATGCAGAAGCCAAAATAAGTATCAGTGCCCCTTCTCATCTGCACAGTGCAGTTCCTCCTCAGTACTAACTGCCCTCCTCCAGAACATATCAGAACCATTTACAGAAGGAGGGTACATATTCAAGTTCACCTCTCCTTCTCTGGCAGCTGGTCTATAGTAGGATTTGGGGGACACTAGTTCTGTCAACCATATGTAAGGCACAGTGTACATGACACCCCCAACGCATATGACTATTAAGAGCCATGGTTTTTTTGTTTAGTTTTGTAACACTATCAAAGACATTGTCAAAAAGCTTCAAAAACATTGGGAAACACAATCTTAGAGCAGGATGGAGAAGAATGACACTGTAAGAGAAGCCCTGATATTCAAGGAGATGCTCTTGTTAGCCCTGACATCTGCAGCAGTGACATATCATATTAGAAATGTACCCCACTAATCCATTATTGATCACCAAGGTAACTGCATATTCCATGTCCTACACAGTACATCAGCAGGAAGCTTGGACACAAGCTATATCCTGCTGCTGAGATGACTAACTGCAGTCTTGAACAGAAAAAGAAAAGGAAGGTCAGCTAACATAAAAGCTGTTAAAATTGTAAAATTTTAACACAAAATCCTACTTGCAATTCACATACAGATCAGTGTACTTTCTTCTGCTGTCTGTAAAGGTCTATGCAGCAGTCTTCCTAAGTAAAAACTGCAATAAGAAAATTGCTCTCAACAAAGAAGGGTCTGTGTGTCACAGTGCAGCCCTGTGAGATGTGACTTACAGAAACAAAGTTCAAGACCACCATCCAAAAAGAGAAGCTTGAGCACCCTGATAGTAGGTTACACCCTACAACTACATTTCTTTCCAAGTCTGAGTTCAGGTGCAGATCTGGCTCCCAAGCTGGTCCTTATAGATAGTAGTTAGTTAGTTGTAGTTAAGGAGGAAAGTTTTTTATAATGAAGAACTAGTTATAGTTACAGAGACGCTGAGAGAGTCACCAATTATTAGGGAGTGAAAGCAAGTTTAGCACCAGGTCACAATTTATTTTCATTACACTCCAAAAAATTATTCTCTTACTTTAAAGAGTCTTGGGAAGACATCTGTTGGCTGCCCTCGCACGACAAACAAGCGAGAGTTCAGTTTCCTTAAACTGTTGTCCAGATCTTCCAGGGACTGGAGAAGAAATCTGCAGACAAGAAACAACAGCAGTGTCAGTCAGATGGGTTACAGCTAAAAGGCAAATGAGAATTTGCATGGACCTCCAGCAAACCTGCACCACCAAATTAAACTGGAAGTTTGGACAAGAACCAGAAAACAAGAATTCATATTTACCTCTGGTCTGTCCAACAACTTTTATGAGATTGCAGCACCAGCCAGCTCCCATTCACTCATATGCAATTTGTGCTTGTCCAGATCTAAGAGGCTTCCAGGATGTTCTTCCCACTGCAACCTACTTCCCACATTCTCCCTCAGAGGTGGGAGAACACCCTTGTCACTTCTTCTCTCCACATTACATGGAGAAAGCATAAACCACATAATTCCCTACTGTACATTTTTTCACAGGTTTTGGGGTAAAAAGGGATTTTGCACATGAAACAGAAAAATTTTGATGCATTACTCCAGGGAAAGTAATGAAATACTTCAAGAACTGTGCAGGTTTTGCAGTTCTAGCTATAAATACACCATGTCACAACAGAGAAATGTACTCTCCTAGACCATCAGTAGCACAAGACTGAGCACCAAGATCTCCCGAAGCAAGAATCATCTGTACTTTGAATAACTGCAAAGAGAACTGCAATTCACCTTGCACCATGAAGGCACGGAGATGAGAGCATACCAAGACATTCTTCTATTCCCTCTCACCCTGAAATTCTAAAAAGCCATGTAAGTGCTTTCTGCATTTAGTGGTATGTCTTATTGATCCCCCACTAAGCTATAAACCACCAAATGTGTAATATTTGCTTTCCCAGTCACACATCACCCCATCTACACAGTAACTTCACTTTGTTTTATTTAACTCTGTAAAAGACACCAGCTTTAAAACTTCAGTGTCCCCTCAGCACCTGACACTGCTGGCAAGCACACAACCCTTTGTCACTGAGCCTGCCAGCCCTTACCTTTCTTTCCCTCTGTCCTCCATGCCCACTCTGCAGTGTGATCTGCCAGAAGTGCCTCAGCCCCATTCAGACCCCTCGCAGGCAAGGAAAGCCAAGCTACTACAACTGCACTGCAAAGTGGCAACTTCTCTGTCCTCAGCTGCACCACCCATAATGGAACCGTGAGCTTCCAGACAGAACAAGTTCGCTCTGCACTTCTGGAGAAGGGTGCAGGTTCAAAGAAAGACGTGCACTCTGTCACAAAGGAGAACACGCAGAACTGGGTGCAGGTAACCTAAACAAACCACTCCCTGAGGCCCAGCCCACTTTCCATTTGTTAAGTACAAGCATCAACTGTCTGAGGTGTTCTAAAAATTTTAACATGCGTTAGTCCTATATGGCTCGCACATGCTGGGCAGTTAAATACCAAGGGTTTTTCAACTCGATAACTGTTTCCCTCCCTTCACAACACTGGTGGAAACAAACAAGGATTTAACAGATCAGGAGTTAATCTGTTGTGCCACCACTTTGGTTCTTCCAAATGAGGACAGTCAGCAACAACAGCAGCAGCACGTGAAAGGCATTTCTGTTTGCTGCTGCCTGCAGGAAGTCTGGTCTATGGCAAGACCAATTCAGATTCCTACAACAGAATTCACAATTTTCTGCACTTTGAATGACTACACTGAGGTAACTTCTGCACATTTACAATTTTTAAGCCATCCTCTGCTGTGGGATTCTAGAAGCATACAGATATTACCCATACAACCCCATTCCTTGAAATGAAGCTAAGGCGCACAGCAGAAGCAATCAATTACAGCTGCAGTTTCCCTAGCGCACAGCCCCGTGACATTCCCAAGAGCTCACAAAGCATCTTTGCCAGGTGCGTGGCTGTCGACTTCCTCTGAGGGGGTAGTGGGAGATCTACTTCACTTGTATGCAGGGGAGTCTCGCCCGGGAGCATCCCTATCTGGATTGGGGTTCCAAATGTTTAGGCTGCTGAGACCTGACACAAGAGCATTATGTAATGTCGCTGGCTACAGGTACATGAGGTCTTGATCTTTGCGCAGACGAGACTCATGCTATACACTTTTCCATTTGCAGAGATGAGGAAAAGCCCACTCAGCTTCACCTCTAGTTTCTCAGCAGCAGCCGATGTGTATTTCGCTAAAAGAGCCGAGCGCCGGGCGGAGCGGGGCTGCGTGCGCACATGCCTACGCGCCCGGCAGCCCAAGGGCAGAGGGGAGGCGTGCTGCGCCCACGGAGCTGACAATGCCTTGCCCTCGTCTCTAAATTCAGGGAAAAGGGTTTCCCAAAGCCAAGCGTCCATCGCTTGCTGCTCTCATACACTCGCCGCACTGATAAAGTCTAATGACATTACATAAAGTTGAAGGCATCCTCCCACACAGTCCGGCAGAGAGAACCGCGGCGAGGCCGAGCGGACACGGCACAGCCGCTGCCCTGCAGGAGGGAGCGGTGTCCGACACGGACGCGTGCGCTGCTGGGCCGCACCGACAGGGCCCACGCCGCGCCCCGCGCCCCGGTGCCGCGGGAGCCCCGTCCCGCACGGTCCCGCCCGCGGCCCGCAGGCCCGGCGCCACTCACCGCCAGCGGTTGATGCCCACGGCGGAGGAGGCGGCGAACCAGGGGTCCAGGATATAGATGCAGCGGAGGGACGTGGCGTCCCGCAGCGCCTCCTGCAGCGCCGGGTTGTCGTGGAGCCGCAGCCCGCGGCGGAACCAGTGCACGGAGCGGCACAGGGCCGGCGCCGGGCCCAGCGCGGCCGCCGCCGCCATCGCCGAGGCGCGGTGCTGCCCCCCAGCGGCCGCGGCTGCCGCCGGCGGGCCCGGCCCGGCCCGGAAATGGCGCTGGCACCCCAGAGCGACCCCGAACCGGGTCTGCGGGGCTGGCGGCTACAGGTCAGCGTTAAAAACCTCCATTCCAGTAAAAAAACGAAAAACCAAAATATGCTCGAGGACGCCAAATGGCTGCCTGCATGGAAAAGGTACCTGTGGCCATGAACCCTGGAGCAGGAGCCCCCGCGCCACCCCCCAAATTCAACAGGAACATATTTTGGGCAGAAATGGAGTGTTCTTCGGTAGGTGTGGTCAGACATCACTCACGGGACATGGTACATCATGCAGGATCCATGAAAGAGGCTATGAAGCAATGGCATGGACTGCCCAGGATCGCTATCAGAGTGACTTCATGATTAGAAGGGCGGGAATTTAGAAAGAGGATGCAACATCACAGCTCACCACAGGATGTTTGTTGCTGCTGACCCCAGCAGTCAGAAACCACAGCACAGACATTCTCTATTGCATAGATCCAGATTGGGGGGTGGGGTGGGTTGGGCAGAGATTTCTGCAGATCTGATCAGCAACAAATTCCAAGCAAAGGAATTGATACAGTTGAGCGAAACTCATTGCATTGAAGGATTCACAGAGGAGCTACAAAGTAAACATGGAACAAGCCCCCTGAAACAAGGGAATGAGTAACAACCTCATTTTCAGTACAAACCTACCCCTGCAAAGGTAAGAAGTGTTGCAAACCCTTGGTGAACTGGGATCCCTGCCCTGCAGCAGCAAGTGTTTCAGAGTAACTTCTCCTGCGTGTCACCGAGGGACAGAGGCCAAGCCCACTCCTCCGTGAGAAAGGCCACAGGAGCAAGCTCTCCCTCTCTGGATACAGTGCAGAGAGAATGAGACATTTAATTCCTGACTCTTACCATGCTTCCTCAAATTGAGAAACCAGTTGTAAAGCAACACAGGAAAAAACTTCAGAAGGATGCGGTACTTTTGGAAAGGTGTTTTGGTGGCACTGCTGTTGTTTAGACTTGTACATAGCCAGAAGGGAGAGAATTTCCATCCTCTGCACTGAATGGGGCAACAGGAAGAACAGCTGTTGCAAAAACCTTATACAGCAGAACAGTTTACTGAAGTCTAACCCAGACAGTCTGGCTACTTGCCTCTTCCTTACCTGCAGGTTCAGGATTTTACAACCCCAGGTTGCATTCATTCCATTAATTTTCGATCCCTAACTACACAAAGCTCCCATTCCAGTCTGTGTCTGATAGGAGCCACCCCCACCACCCCCCCCAAGATGCAAATGTCCGAGATTAGGTAAATAACAACATCCATTTTAAAAAACAATCACAAAAAAACCCCAACCCAGTTGATCTCCACAACACATGCTCTCCCCAACTCTGACAATGAGGTGAGATAAAACGTGATCCAGGCAGGTCTTTGGCTCTGGTTCCTGACACAGTTCCCCATACACTTTGCAGGTGCATTTTTTCCTGCTCCTTGCTCTTCTTCTCCCCAGGATGAAAAGGAGCACCAAAGGTTATCCCCCCAGACCCAAAAATAGAGGTGCAGGAGCCACCTACACACCAGTCTCATTTCTTTCACTGCTTTTAACATTAGGATCCTCTTGCACCTTTCTCATTTCCAGTCCTTTCACCCACGTGTAGGCAAAGGAGCCCCCCAGAACCATCAAGTTACTCGTCCACCACAAGAAGCTCTTTGTCTCCTCGAAGTAGATAACAGCCAGCACTGTTTGTGCACAGGCCTTGGCTGTCCCAGACACGTTGTGGGTGAGTGGGCTAGTGAACTTAATCTGAAGTCCAGTCACGTACCCGATGGCAAAGCCAAACACTCCCCCCAAAGTCATCATGCCCCAAAAGCTGGGGCTCCCCAGCTTGTCAAAGTGGTAGAGGGTGCGGAACTCGCCCAGCAGCACCATGAGGGGGAAGAAGAGGACGCAAGCGTTGATGTTGTTGTAGAAGGTCAGGCGCCAGATGCTACCATCCACCACAGGCAGCACCTTCTTGGTGTAGATGGCATTGAGAGAGACACAAAGGCTTGCTAAGATCCCAAAGAATATACCTGTCCATGACAGAGTACCTTCTGCTCCTTCCTGGTCAACGCCCAGCCAGAAGCCACCTGCAACCAAACACATCAGGCATCATCTGAACAACCAAGGCTCAAAACATACAGTCAAGAATTCATCTCTGCTCCTTCCTGGTCAACGCCCAGCCAGAAGCCACCTGCAACCAAACACACCAGGCATCATCTGAACAACCGCTGAAAGGCTCAAAACATACAGTCAAGAATTCAGCACTTACTTTATAGTGAACAACAACAGAGACAGGCTTAAGGGCTTCCCCCTTCTACTACGTGAACCCACAAAATGCCTTGACTGGGAAGACTTATTTTGGGAGTGCAGGAAATTTACTGTTCAGGTAATTCAAACTCAGAGGACTAATTTCCACACTGAGCAGGCAGCAGTTCAGAAACTGCTATTCCAGCTAGTCTTTGCATACAGGTAATTTTCAGGAGACCATTTTGTTTTTAATTGAAAAGGCTGAAAATTGACATATAGGTAGAAAGAATATTCTTCAAAGTTTGAAAAAACTGAACTTTATAATTTTCTCTGCTGTTAACAGGAAGGAAAATAGAGAAGAAGATGGAAAGATAGTAAAAACATGGATGCAATATTAAGCATGATTTAAAAAAAATCAAAAGGCAGAAACTGTGTGCAGTACCTTCATGTTAAATGATGGGCAAAGCACTGTCTAACCACCTCCAAAACAGGAGCTACAGGCTTTGCATCTCCAGGGCAGAGAAGGAGACCTCTCCCCACCCAGCTCATAAGCAAAACAGAAAAGGGAGATGAGCTACTGAAGGAGCACTGCACCCCATTTTCATTAGCTGCTTCTTGTTGGAAGCTGTTTGGGAAGTTGCCTGCAAAGCACCTAACAGGCTTGAAACTAAGCCCAGATACAAATGGGCTCCATGCTCTGACAGGAGGGGCTTTGTGTCAGCCACAGAGGATGCTCAGCTGTGCTGCTGTAGCACACAGGCAATGCTCTCACAGCCAAAGGAGATGGAGCCAGGAGGACAGAGTCTTAACCTCAGAGAAACCCTGTCAGGCTGCCAGGCACCACACTCCTGGGCAGCGCCTGAACAAAAGATTAGCTGAAGGCAATTGCTTGCATCACTTGTAGAAAAGACAGTAGCTCTGTTCCTGTTCACCTCTTCTCTGCAGGTGAGATTCTCTTGTTTTCGTCTGATTCCACCCGGCCGTCTAACACTAAGTGAACTCACGCACACCTGGAACCAGACTGAAATGAACAGCTCACCATTCCTGGCATCTAAATGGCCTTTCAGTGGAAGGTAGCTTTTGGGATTATTTTGCCTTTGGAATGGACGACTTACAAGCATTCCTGTTAAGCCACTCAATGCCTTGCCCTACATCCTAACCACACACCCAGATCTTCTGGTGGTGTTTTACACTTGGCTTGATCAGCTAACCCTTTATCACATGCATTCAGCCTATTGTAAAAACCAATTGCCTGACTCTATTGTATGGTCCCAGTGGTGCTGACATAAATGTTATTGTTACCAAAGTTAATAATCAACAAGAACTTGGGAACAGGGAGAAAGCCACCTGCTATTTTACAGCCTGTAAAGGGGAAAGAAAGAAAAAGGTAAGGCAAGTTAAACTTCTTTAGAGGGTAGAGAAGTTTTAGTGCTCAAAGAAAAAGGAAGCTGTGTCAAATGAGAGCAATTTCTTCTCTTAATGAGTCACCTACATCCTCCAGCCATACAAATTTGGTTGCCACAGACAGAGCAAGGCACGAGCCCTGAGCTACCCCACCTCACCAGGGAGCTGCCATGCAGGTGGGGATGACTTCCCAAGGGAAAGACATCCCACCACCATCTCTCTGGGGCTGGCTGTCGGGTAGGAGCTGCCTGCTCCCCCTCACCTATGATGACTCCGCAGGCCAGAAGGGCATAGAGGGAGGTGGTCTGCTTCAGGAGGAGGTAGGAGAGCAGCACGTTGAACACGGTGGTGAGGGAGCGCCCCACGTTGTAGAAGGCCACGCCGACATGCTTGAGGCAGAGGTTGTTGGAGGTGACCATGCCGATGAAGACGGCGGAGAGGGGCAGGACGCTGCGGGACACCTTGGGGTCGAGGCGGAGGGCGGGCAGGCCGGCGCAGGGGGGCCCGCAGGCCGCCCCCAGGCTGAGGCCCAGGCAGAGCGCGGCCGTCAGCGCGCACTGGAAGAGGGTGACGAAGAGCGGGGCGTCGAGGCGCAGCGAGGGGCTGTCCAGCAGGTACTTGTTGAGGAAGACCATGGCGATGGAGGTGAACCAGTAGAGGCAGACCACCACGGCGATGCGCAGCGCCCGCAGCAGGAAGGGCCGCGCCGCCATGGCGGGGGACGGCCCGGCCCGGCCCCCGCTCCGCCCCGGGCAGCGCGGCGCGGCCGCTGCCGGTTTGTAAATAATAGGCTGCGAATTTGTTAAAAAAAATTCTTAAGGAAGGATGCTGTTTGATAATTGAGGTTTTTATACTTCCAGGACGAATCAACAAGAAAGGAGATTTAATGCGTGGAACAAAGAGCAGCGAACAAGGAAGCTCTAAGTGATGCCCGGGTGTCAAAAAGAAAATATAAGAATAGCCTTGTTAAGGTTTCACGTCTCAACGACCTCAGACCCAGATGGGAGCTAGCAAAGCTTTGGGGGACAAGCTGACAGGGCACACAAAGAATGTAGAATTTACAGGTCCTAAGGACATTTGGCAGGACCCCTAAGATAAGGAGGAAATGAATAAAGACAACTGTGCTGAGATCAGCTCTAACTGGGTAAAAGGTAATTCCAGCAGGGGGAGATTATAACCACCAACTCACTGACCACCAGCTCAGGAAACCCACTGACCCAAAAGAAGAGAAAGACTGAGCATGCGGGCTAATAACCACGAGAAGCAAGAAAATAATCTGTTGATAGAAGATAGAATATTAATTATTAACAATAAAATTATCTGGGTAACTTGTAGCCAATGAATTAGCTTTGTTCTATAGCAAACAATGTCTTTGTTTGCAAAAATGTGTGAATAGTGAGAAGTTTTGGTAGCTGTCACACTGGCCTTGTGGATTTGCCACCCAGCACCCCTTTCCGTGCAGAACTGTAAATAAATCAAATACCTCAACTCTGTGTGTGGATTGGTGTCTTGCACACCGTGTGAAATAACCTATTTTGGGACAACAGGGGCAGTTTAACAAGGGTCTGAGGATGGTCCTTGGCACCTTCCACAGCCAGGAGGGAGGGCCTTGCTGTGGGACTGCTGGGGAGGGGCTGCCGTGCTCATGGATATTAATGGTGGCCAGCACTGTATCCCCCTGGCATTGCTGGGCACTGGGTGGCAGCAGGGGACAGGGTGGCAAGGTAGTGGTCCTTGTGTCAGGAACAAGACTGCTCTGCTGGCTCATGTCAGCATCCTTCATGTGCTGGTTGGAGCAAGTGGCATCTGGGTGTTGGACATGCAGTGGTTTGCTAGCATGGATTTTGCCCACATCCCATCAAAAGCACAGTGTGCTCTGCTGCCTAAACCTTCTGTACAGAAAACAGGTTTGCATTTTTGTGGAGGTAAATAAAACATTCACAATAGACCTGGCATGTCCAAAATACCAAATGAAGTAGGCGTGGTGACATGTGGAAGCAAGGACAGCACAGGCAAGAGTTAGCTGCCTAGTTCCCATTCCTGCATCAATAATTTTGATATCTAACCAGGAGAATGTCTCTGCCAATGCCATTTACCTCTCCAAAACTGAGGTACAGCCTGGGCTGACTTGTGCACTGCCCTGCTACATTGCAAGCAATACAGGGACTAGCTGCTTTCAGTGTAGCCTGGGTGTTAGGGTAGGCTGCACACATTCCCATGCTAACTCACTTATCCCACAGTCCCACATCATCATTCCAGGTATGAAACACCCATCTAGCCATAATCACATGCCAAAACATCCCATGTTCTCTTAATGGTGCTTTATAACAAAGAAGCCTTTCAATAAGAAACTCTAGCATGTTGAGAATTCAAACTGCTGGACAGGATGAAATAAATTAGAATTAATGCCAGATTCCATGAGGTGGGGGAGGCAGCAGTGAGCTCTGTCAAACATTGGTCAGTGTGACCCTCACTTATTTCAGCTGAGACTGCTGCAAAGTGTCTGGTTTGCAATGTCCTGGGGCACAGCAATTTGCACAGGGCATAATTAAGAGGATTTTGGAAGCAAAGCCAGCAGCATTAATTGGCCCCCATAGCAATCTTTGCTGCTCTTACAGTTGGGAAGGACAGAAGCATAGTAGGGGTTTTGGGGAGAAAAGTACTTAATTAGGCCAGTTGGTGTGGCTGGAAAATGTTTCAGGCATAATGTGCTTTTCTCAGCTCTCTGAAGTCACTAGTTTTTTTTTCTCCCAGATGCATCAGTAGGTTTAGTAAATGATGCTGCCTTTCCCCACAACCTGTGCCTCCTGAGCAGCATCTGGGCTCTGATGGGAATCACGTTCCCTCTGGACAAAGAAAGCTGGTGCTGGTGTGCTTGCTTTGGACTACCCAAGTGCCTGCAGGGTGAGGGAGTGTTGGGGGTTGTGTTCTGAGCAGCATCTCTCAGCACTGCACCTTGTGATAGGTGCCTGGTAGAGCCCTCACAACCCCAAGTGAGTTCACCTGCTCACCTCACCCACCTCCCTGCTCTGCCTGCACAGCTGGGAGAGCCACCCCAAGCATGGTGCTTGCCCAAGCTCACATGGGCTGTGACATCCCCTGGATGCAGGCCTGCAGCTCCTGCCATGGAAACAGCAGATCGTGATTCTGCAGAGGGACTGGCATTAAGGCAGGGAAAGCTGTTATTGAAGTTGAAATTGTTATTGCTATTGAAGTGACCAGCGGGTGTTCCCTGGAGCTCAGCCACGCTTTGATCCTGCTGCTAGAAGTCAGCTAGCATTTACTCTTTGCTTCATATCCTGTGCTCCTTCCATCCACCTTCTTCCAGTGCCTGGCCCAGCACTTCTCTCGTAAGTGGTGTCAGTCAAGAAAAAAAAGAAAGCAAACAGTCTTTGTGTGGGGCACTGGGTTGGTTCCATAGGTCCTTGTGACCTGTGGCTTCAGCATCACATAATCTGGCTTGAATTTCAAGGAATTTGACCTCTCCTACCACTAATGTTGCAAGAATGACAGTGCCTCTGGCAGATTCAGAATCAGATAGATTTTTTTTCTTCTCTCTGCCACTTGCTAGCATTGTTCAAAGTGTGTTCTCTAAACTAAACACAGGAGTTGGATACAGCAAAACCCCCCTCCCACTGCATCTTGTCCACTCGTTCAGTGCACAGAAGATTGCTTTGGCCTGCAGAAGTTTGAAATATCCCGATCAATAAAATCCTTGTTGCTTTTCCTGGGGGATTATCCTACAACCCTATCACACATGTATGGCACGTCTGCATGGGAAAATCAACCAGAATAACTCTCTCACCTCTGCCAATGTAACTCCCTGGTGCTGACAGTGTATTCCAAAATGAAAGTGATTTGTTCTTGAATAATGAGGTAGTTCTGTGATAGTTGTGCTGGTCAGTCTCCCTAGGCAGAGCTTGTCTACAGCATGGCAATGGTTTGACAAGTGCTTTGAATAAAGGCTTTCTTAGGTGCAAAAACTGACCAGCAGAATTACTCCGCCATAGCCCTGACTGCCTACCTGCCTCACAAGGGTGCTTGGCTTTGGGGGAAGGTGGTTTAGAGTTGTAGGTTTAGAAATTTCAGAGTAAAGGTAGGAATAAGTAGGTTTAGACAATGTAGCCTGGCCTCTTGCACAACGTCAGTCTTAGGCTTCCCTGAATTAAATCTTACTTGAATTAAACCTGATTTTCTATGAGAAAAACAAAATCAATTTTGATTAAAAATAATTCCAGAGACTGAATTCAATAGAGCACTAGCAATGTTGCTCTGATGGCTGGTTCTTTCCCACTAAATAATGCACACTCCTTTTCATGCTTGGCATTGCCTGGTTCAATGGATCTTGTTACAGCTTTGCTGACTCTTTTACAAGCAAGCAGTTACAGGCAGATGAAGTTACCTTTTAGCCTTGTTTTTGGAGAAGATAAATAATTTTAACTTCATTACAGAACATGTTCATTATGCTACAGCAGCAAAGATTCGCTTCTGTATGCAGAAGAGACCTCAAATTTTCCTGCCCTGCTGCCTGGTTGTGTATTAACATGGCAGCACAGATTGTCAGGAGCCAGCACAGGATTATTCCTGGCTTAGGAGTGTGCTTACAAAATAAGCAGTTATCGCTAGTAGAGGTCTGAGGCTAGAAAATGAGCAGCTTTGACAGGTTCTTTACGTGGGAAATCTGGCTGGTAGTGTCCTTGCTGCCATGTCTTGTGAGGTGCCTGCACTGCTGCTGGTGTCTGGCACGCCTGATGCCCTGCCTGCTGCTGGTGTGCACACACACCTGCACACACTCCTGCATCTTAGTTACTTCTTTCCTATGTGATCAGAAAACATTTTTAGCTATGAGAGGTGCTGCTCCTCCAAGGGGAGAGCCCTTCCCACTAAAATTAGGTAGGTGACCTACTTGAAAGCATGCAAATCAGCTGATAGCCAGCAGCCTGGCTTATAAAACAGCAATGGGCTTTGGGGTGTGCATCAAACCTGGTGGTGAGACAGCACAGATTGCATTTACTGGCCACATAAGAGACCTGGACATATTGACCAGTGTGTTATTGTAGGAATAGGCCCTCTGTAAGTCATGTAGCAGAGCAAACAATGCAGCAGAAAACATTGCCAGTTTTGTTTCTGGGTTTGGGGTTAGAAATAAGACTCATCCCACTACCTAGAATGGGACGTGGGAAAGAATTCGCTCAGCAGTGAGGTCATTCCAGTGTATTTAAGAATTGATTGTTCCTTACAAGCATAGGTATCTGATTTCCAGTTAATACAAACACCCTTGATGCTGACATTTATAAAGTATGGAGCTTACAAGTTAAGATACCAATCTAGATTCATACATGTATCAAAGCACAGATATATACCAGCATATAAGCATATTTATATCTGTACATATGCATTTGTGTGTGAGTACGCTCAGACTATGTACAGGTGGTGTGGTGCCACAGTGGTGTCCAGACAGGGACCAACAGCCCAGAAGAGCTCATCTGTCACAGGAGTATTACTTCATTGTGACTGAGGTATTACTTTATTTGACCTACTGGTGATTCCTCTGGTTTGCTGTATATCTCATTAAAATTAGCTTGAGTTTTAGAGGTTTCAAGTTTGAAGTGCAGATGTTGCCTGGTAGCAACAGGTCTCAGCTGTCATACTGTTATTTAGCATTTGCTGATAATCAATACAAGAAAAGAAGGCCAATGCAAAAT